GGGTTTGAACCGCCAGCCTTCTGGTTAGCAGTCAAGTGCCTTAGGCACTATGCTACCAGAGCTCCCTAATAAGAGGTAGGTTAGTATATTACCACAGCCTCCCCAGACCAGTACGGTCCTGTTGTTATACATATTACAGTGCCTTATTACTGGTGGTTAGTTCACAACCACAGCCTCTGTAGTCCCATAAATGGACACTTCCCTGTTGTTGTCACACCATGAAAATACCATGTTCTGAGAGTTGTCAGGTGACGAGTGCTGTGGGAGACAGTGCTTTTCTCAAGTCACTAATGGACTGATTGGGAATGTACAATAGCATTTTCAGTTTGAAACCATAGCTTTAAAAGTCCTTTTATTAATTTGATCATTGTTAAATTATTTCTCATCAAACCTAATTGCTTTAAGAAAGTCTTCTGATTTGATCACAAGTGTTAATAAAAGATTAGTTAAGTTCCCACCTGTGCTGTGAGACACAGGGTAGGACAGATGAATATACTTCAGACACTCAGACGTTCAAAGTAGAAGCCATTTTTGATAATTCAGATAGTTAATGGGAAACAACAAAAATACAATTCATAATTTTTTTTTCTCTCGGTAAGGGATTTTAAGTTGTAAAACTGAAGACTTTTATAGTACAACATATCAGCAAGTGAAAATTAGAATCCATTCAATCCATAAACATTTGTTGAATATGTAATATAATTGGTAATATTTATATAAAGCAGGTATTATGTGCCCAGCACTCTTCTAAGTTCTTTACACTTGTGATCTCATTTAGTCCTGACTCCAGCCCTAGGAGAAATAAAGATCATTAGTGTCTTCTTTTCTCAGATGAGGAAACTGAGGCACAGGCATGGTGAAGCGACTGCCTCACGTCACCCAGCTAGACTGTGTTGTAACCAGGAGTTGAGCTCAGGCAGTCTGACTTTAGAGCTGAGCTCTCAACCACTGTACATCATTCTACCTCTTCCACCATCTTGCCGGAAGTCCTGTACGCACGTCATTCTAAATGGCAAAGCTTATACACAAACACACAACACAAAATCTACAGTCCCAAGGAGCTCACAGTCTAATGGTAGAAACTGATTGAAAATCAAATCACTGTAATACAGTATTTTACATGTTGTGATAGATGCTTATGATTGTAATAGTCTTAGTGAGAGATTGATTTATTTTGCTGACACAATTATGGTTTGGAAGCTGGAGGACAGGCTGTATCTTAATTAATTTGGTCTGACTAGCCCCTAACATAGCTCCTGGTTTGTAGAAGGTGATCAGTAGGTGATGAATGAATCCATCATCCATTCTGCGCTATCCAGTGTGGTGGCCACTAGTCCCACATGGGCACTTGAACTGTGGCTGCCCAGGTATGTGCTGTGGGTGTGAAGTAATCACTGGATTTTGATGACTTATAAAAAATATAAAATACCTCAATTTAAAAAATACTGATCACGTGGTGAAATGATATTTTGGATACAGGTATCCCCTGCTTTTCAAGTTCGCTTAATGCTGCTTTGCTTTTGTGAAAGACCTACATTAGTACTTATTTTCGTGAGCCAAAAGAAATCTGAAGAGGATTTTCACTTTTATGGAAAAAGACAAAAAGTGAAACTAGCGTTCAACCTTTGTTTTGCGGCGGGCAGTTAAAGAGGTCGCGTGTACCCCGAGCTGTGAGGGTGGCGCCACCAAGCTCCTTCCCCGGGAACTGCACTCAGCATCTCAGCATTAAGCCACCATGGTTTTGAACTGTGTCTGTGAACACTCCGTGTTGTGTTAGTGTAGGGTTCGTGTTAGTTGGGATAATTTGCTAGGTTATTTTTTGGGTCTGGGAATGCTCAACATTTTCCCGTATAAGTTAGTGGCGACTGCGTCTGCTCTCTGCCGTCTCAGCTTACAGGAGGCCTCGCAGGGACGTTCTGGGTAGCAGGGGAAACCGGGATTGGGCTAAATAAACTGTCACTGAATGAACTCACCTTCTCTTCAATTTTTTTATACGTTTTTAGTACAGCTCCTAGGAGATTTTAAATTGCACGCGTGGCTAGTACTGTCCATCCGTGGACAGTGCGGATCTTGTTCAGCGCCCCTCTTGGACACCCTGCCTTGTAGTGCAGTTCTCTTTCTAGACCTGGATTAAGTTTTTTATTGATAGCTGCCATCAAGCTGATGATGACTTTGGGTGACCTAATGTGTGCAGGGTAAACCTGCTGCCTGGTGTTCAAGGCTGTGACCTTGCAGAAGCAGGTCACTAGGCCTCTTACTAGGTGCTTGTGGATGGGTTTGAACTGCAGCCTTCTGGCTAGTTGTTGCGTGCTTAGCCATTTGTGCCTCTCAGTGACTCCATAAATTAAATTAGTATACTATAAATACGTACGTTTTGAGGTAAAATGGCGTTACTTTGGTCTGGTAAGGGGTGATTTAATCTTTCTGCTTTAATTGACTTGTCATGAGCTTAATAATCATTAAAGGTTTTTTCCTTTTATATAAAAATTTCTTTTTTTAGTTGTTTTTCACACTTGGCACCTCTATTCTCCGTTGTCTGCTCCCTTCCCACACACATACATATATACACGCGGCCTCCTGTTTCATCCTTACTTTGTTGACATCAACACTCTTTAGATTTTATTAGCACCTGTACTTGCGTTTTGGGAAGGTACGCGGTGACCTGCATAGATAACTGCTTGTTTTGGTAGGTCTGTGCATGCATCTTCTGGTATAATACTCTCAAAACTCTGCCTGATCCTCATTTTAGAGACAGGATATCTCAGGTTTAGAGGGTAGTATGCTCAAGGTCACAGTGATAATACTGAACAGAGTCGCTATAAGCTGGTAACAGTAGCAGCCCTGGGACCTTTTCCTAACACTTGGCTGCTAACCGAAAGATTGATGGTTCCAACCCACCAGCCACTCCATGGGAGAAAGGGGAGGCAGTCTGCTTCTGTAAAGATTACAGCTTTGGAAACCCTACGGGGCGGTTCTGCTCTGTGCTATTAGTTGGAATAGGTTTGATTGCAGTGAATGGATTTGGTTTGGTTTGTATTACAAAAAAAGAAGCACAAAAATCTATTTCAAAATGTGTAGATGTATAACTGTGTGCCAGTGGGCATGAAATAATGGGGTGAATATGACTGATTTGAAGACTGGGTCCTTCTACCTCCAGCTGGCCTTCCTCTCCCATTTCTGTTGGTGGTAGTAGTCACCACGTGTCCATCTTCCTCAGTTCGGTTCAAATAAATATACCTGAGTCTAAATGAATGCGGTAACAGTGGCTCTCTTTGGATGCAGGAATTTCAGGTGATTTTAAATTTCTTTTTTACACATTCTCTATATTTTTTTTATAGCAAACATTTAAAACCAGTATAAAACGGAACAAATGAGAACAGTGATACATTGTGAAAAATGTAACCAGTATCGCTGAGTAATTTGCCTAGGAATTGTTAAATGGGAACCTAGTTTGTTGTGTAAACTTTCACCTTAAACACAATAAAATATTAATTAAGAAAAGAGCAAACTCGTGGAGCGTCAGTCTACTCTGATGCGCTTGGGGTAAAACCGTGAGTCAGAACACGGCTGGCAGCAACTCGTTATTATTTGAAAATGTTGAAAATTATTAAATAAACCTACACACATGGGCACACACACACAAAAAATCCTATAGAAAAAACTATATAAAAAGAACAACAAAGCTATTTTCACTTGGGGAAAAAAAAAATCAATGTGCTTGATCATTTTCATTCCAGAAATAAACTTTTCACCCCAGATTTCAGAATCCCATAACCTGTCCTCTGCCATTCCAGTGTTTGTTGGCCTCACTTTCATAGCCCCCGTGTGAGTGATTAGAGTCAGTCACTTCCTTAACAGCTAATGCTAATTCCGTCTGCTGCCACAGAGGTGATTTTTCTTCTAGACCTAGGATTCATTTATTTCACAAAGTTTCGTTTTCTTTGGCAGATTGTTTTTACACAGTAGCTTATGGTGGTCATATCCTGCAAATAAGTATTTTTAAATGTTTTGGATGCTTTTAAATGCTTTGAATCTAAACCTGCTGTGTTTGTGGAATAATGAGACTTGGAAGGGACTTCGGATCTTATCCATCCTCCTATTTAACTAATTTCCTTTCAAATTAGCCAACAGGTAGTTGACCAGGAATAAATTTACTTGCTCCCTCAGGATCTTTGAAAAAGTCCTTATTTTTTTCTCATTGCTTTTCACTACTTAGTGACCTGGTTTATGTTCTTTTAAGATGCAAGTGATCAAAGAGAAGATGTTTATATTGGAAACCACATGCCTTGCCCTGAAAATCTCAATGGTTACTGCATCCATGGGAAATGTGAGTTCATCTATCCCACTCAGAAGGCTTCCTGTAGGTAAGTCAGTCCCTCCAGGTCAGCGGTGAGAACTTTCCCCATTAAACAGTCACTGCCCTATATCCAAGGCAATAAAATATGAAGTAAACGTTATTGAAACTCATTCTTTCTTTGTGTGGACAAGGAAGAGTAAACAGTGTCATTAGGAAGGAGTCCGGGTATTAATATGAAAACACAAGAACCCATGTCTTATTAGCGTTTTGAGATTATGGGTTTAACTTTTTTAAATATAATGTTGTGTTATTTTTAATATGAAAAATAACTATGCCGTATTACAGCATCCTTGGTTTTTAGGTAGTCTGCTATAATTTGTTCAAAGTAGCTAAAGGATGGATTAAGAACAGAGAACTTAAAGGAAATAAAATATAAGTCAAAATAGATTTCTAAAAGAAAGGTAATAGGAGTCCAGAAGCCAGGGTGAGGTGAAAGGTAGGAAGGGAAAGGTGGTAAGTGGTCACCTGCCCAGGTTCCGGAGGGCTTGGCTGACTTGTAAGGGCAGCAGGAAGTTAGCAAAGGCGGTGGGATGCAGGGTCTCACGTTTCTTGGTACTCAGCCTGAGGCCCTCTATCTTAGCACAGAGCTGCTTGCTGTGTCTGCTGACGCCTCTTGTGCTGCCGGGAGGAGCTCAAGCTCTAGCTCCCAGGGTTGGCCCAGTAGGTCGTGTCGATAAGGGGAGACTTGTCTGAGTCAGTCCGGTCACTCCCGCCTGCTGGAGTTGGGCCTGAATCCCTTTTTTACTTTCCTAGTTAGACTATCAAAACACGGAGAAATATTATTACACTTGACTTTTATTCTGTTGAAATGGAGGTCACTGAATCTTTCCAATCAGAAAAAAGAAGCTGTTGGTAGCAAGGCCTCTGGTTCCCTCTGCTCCTTCAGTTCCCTGCCCATGACTTCCTTGCCCCTGCTCCTGTTTCAAACCATGAAAGAACACTGTAAACTGTTAGTGCTTGAATGATTCTTTGTCGAGCCCTTGGCTTTTCCAACTGAATGTGCTCCTTGTCTTGGAAGGAACTAGACCCTTAGTATAAATTTTTTTTCTGAACATTTAAAAATACAGATGTACGGACGAGAACAAGCCAGTTTTAAAAAGGAATCATACAGTCGATTCCTCACAGTTGTCCCATAGTGGCCTGCGTATCATGGTGGAAGGTCAGATCGTGTTGTCCTCTTAGGATGGGGCATCTTCCAAGATACCTAGGTAAGGATGCAAGAGGATGATGTTCTGATGATGATGTGGTACCAGGCACTGCTAGGAGGGAATAGCATTTCACTGATTGATGGTAAGAAGACTGAATCAGTATAGTGGTTACAGGTTATAGAATCAGATACAACTGTTTGGCTAATTACTGGCTGTGTGTCCTTGGGCAAGATGCTTAATGTTGCAAGCCTCATTTTCTTCACCTTTAAAGTTGTAATAACAATAGTACTTATCATACGCTGTGGAAGGAAGACCGGGCAGTCTAATTCTGTAAAGATTTACCCCCTCGGAAACCCAAAGGGGGCCGCTATGAGTCGGAGTTGACTCAGTGGCAGTGAGTTTGGTTTTTTGGTTTTATCATCGGCTCCCTAGGGGGTACAACTGGTTAATGTGTTCCACAGACTGCCTCGGAAACCCAAGGAAGGGTCACTATGAGTTGGGTCCGACTCGACGGCACATAACAGCAACAACAAACAGCTAACCTAAAGGTTGGAGGTTTGAAGCCACCCAGAGGTGCCTTGGGAGATAGGGCTGATGTTCTGCTTCCTAAAAGTCAGGCATGGAAACCCCTCTGGAGCACAGCTGTCCTGTGACACTCCTGGGGTGGCCATGCGTCAGAATCAACTGGATGGCAACCAGGTGGTGGGTTTTTCCTAAAAATCATAGGGTTCTTAAAATGTATGTTGTTGTTGTTGTTGTTAAGTGCCATCGAGTCGTTTCCGACTCATAGCGACCCCATGCACAGCAGAACGAAACACTGCCCGATCCCGCGCCAGCCCCACAATCCCTGCTATACTTGACCCCATCGTCGCAGCCACCGTATCAATCCATCTCGTTGAAGGCCTCCCCCTCTTTCGTCGACCCTCCACCCTACCAAGCATGACATCCTTCTCCAGGGAATGGTCCCTTCTTACAACATGACCAAAATAGGTGAGACGAAGTCTGGCCATTCTTGCTTCCAAGGAGCATTCTGGCTGCACTTCCTCCAGGACAGATCTGTTAGTTCTTTTAGCAGTCCATGGTACTTTCAGCATTCTCCGCCAGCACCACAACTCAAAAGCATCAACTCTTCTTCCGTATTCCTTATTCATTCTCCAGCTCTCACATGCATACCAGGTGATTGGAAATATCATGGCTTGTGTCAGGCACACCTTAGTCCTCAAGGAGATATCCTTGCTCCTCAGCACTCAAAACAGTTCCTTCGCAGTTGACTTTCCCAATGCTACACGTCGTCTAATGTCCTGACTGCTGCTTCCGTTGGCATCGATTGTAGAATCAAGCAACGTGAATTCTTTGACGACCTCAATCTTCTCTCCATTTATTGTGATGCTGCTCATTGGTCCAGTTGTGAGGATTTTTGTTTTCTTTATGTTGAGATGTAATCCATACTGCAGACTGTATTCTTCAACCTTCATCTGTAGGTGCCTTAAGTCATCCTCACTTTCAGCAAGCAAAGTTGTATCATCTGCATATCTCAGGTTGTTAATGATTCTTCCTCCAATCCTGATACCACGTTTTTCTTCATATAGTCCAGCTTCTCGGATTATTTGCTCAGCATATAGATTGAATAAGTGTGGAGAAAGAATACAACCCTGACCCACTCCCTTCTTGATTTTAAACCATGTAGTGTCCCCTTATTCTGTTCGAACGACAGCCTCCTGGTCAAGGTACAGATTCCTCATGAGTACAATCAAGTGCTCAGGGATTCCCATTCTTCTCAATGTTGTCCATAATTTGTCATGATCCACACAATCAAATGCCTTTGCATAGTCAATAAAACACAAGTACACATCTTTCTGGTATTCTTTGCCTTGAGCCAAGATCCATCTGACAACAGCTATGATATCCCTTGTTCCACGTCCTCTTCTGAATTCGGCTGGAACCTCTGGAAGTTCTCTGTCAATATACTGCTGCAAACGTTTCTGAATTATCTTCAGTAAGATCTTACTTGCATGTGATATTAATGATATTGTTCTATAATTTCTACATTCTGTGGGATCACCTTTCTTTGGAATGGGCACAAATATGGATCTCTTCCAGTCAGTTGGCCAGGTAGCTGTCCTCCAAATCTCTTGGCATAACTGAGTGAGTGCCTCCAATGGGGCATCTGTTTGTTGAAATATCTCAATCGGTATGCCATCAATTCCCGGAGCCTTGTTCTTCGCCAGTTCTTTCATTGCAGCTTTGACTTCTTCCTTCATTACCATTGGTTCTAGATCATATGCCACTTCCTGAAATGGATGAAGATCTATCAGTTCTTTTTGGTACAGTGACTCTGTGTATTCCTGCCATCTTCTCTTGATGTTTCCTGCATCATTCAGTATTTTGCCCATAGAATCTCTCAATATTGCAACTCGAGGCTTCAATTTTTTTCTTCAGTTCTTTCAGTTTGAGAAATGCTGAGCGTGTTCTTCCTTTTTGGTTTTCAGACTCCAGGTCTTTGCACATTTCATTATAGTAATTGGCTTTGTCTACTCGAGCTGCTCTTTGAAATCTTCTGTTCAGCTCTTTTACCTTTTCATTTCTTCCATTTGCTTTAGCAATTCTCTGCTTAAGGGCAAGGTTCAGCGTCTCCTCTGTCATCCACTTTAAAATGTATACATATACATATACGTAAATGTATACGTAAAGTACTTAGCATAAACCTGGCACATAATACATATTTAATAAATAGAAATTCAGGTTTTTTGACTATAAGTCCAGTGGGTCAAGGACTGTTTTGCTGACAGCTGTCTTCCCAGCAGCTAACATGGACCCTAGCCCAGTATGCACTAAATAAATATTTGTGGAATGATAAGTGATGATTGGGAGCTCTGATAGCATAGTGCCTAAGGCACTTGACTGCTAACCAGAAGACTGGCGGTTCAAATCCACCAGCCACTCCTTGGAGGGAAGGTTGGGCAATCTCCTTCTGTAGTGATATTGCCCCAAGGAGGGGTCGCTATGAGTCGGGGCCGACTCCATGGCACACAACAACAACAACAACAGTGTGATGATTATCAACTTCTCCCTCTTCTCTGGACCAGAGAGATTTCCTTAATGCTAAAGGGTATCCGTTCCGTATACTTAAGCTCTTAAAAAGTAGTCGATCTTTCTTTCTTCTGTTTTTTACAGCATCTACAAGAAACAGGTCATTGTACCATGCGCACTTCCACTTAGGTGCATGTGTTTGGGTAAGCAGGCAGGGACGAGCAGCCTTTAACCTTAGACTTTCTGTTAGGCTAAAACCTAGCATTATTTACCACCGATTTGTTGAATTCTTTCAAGATTACTTGGTGCTTACTATATGCCAAATTCTGCCTGCTGCAGGGGTTTCATATTGGCCCATGGCAGGATCCAGGGGTCTTGCTTTAAAAAAGTGTACACTCTGGGAAGAGACTGACAGATAGTAATAAAAATCTAATACGACAAATGGCCTCATACGTAGATACTACACATGAGGAGCTCTGGAGCTTCACAAAAGGATGTCAGCCTGAGGAGTAGGGGACATTGTTGGAGGCGGAGGGGGAGTGAAGGTTGGGTTGGAACTGCTGCTTGGGGGTGAGGAGAAGCCAGCAGTGAGGAGAGTTCAGGTGGGATCTTTGTAGCATAGAGGGGGTAAGCAGGCCAGGAATCTGTACCTGTGTGGTTGAGGGACACATCCCAGCCACCACTACAGGGCCTGGCACAGTCGGCGCTCAGTAACATGTGTTAAATCCGTGCGTGGACACAGGAGGCCTGGGGGTGAACGGGATGGCCTCCACAGCATGTGTGGGGTGATGGCAGCGCAAGGTGGAGGATCAGACCCCTGGATCTGCCT